TACAATAGTGCTTGGAGCTTCAGTACTTGGCACAGCTATGGAATGAGCCTAAACTTCTCTTATTACTAAACACAAATTGATCAACATGTAAAACATTGTTTCAGATGCTGAAAATTTAATGAAGAATATAATTATTCTTTGAACCACTGACCAGTATGACCGATATGAATAGATGAAGATGTAGAGAGGGCCCAATCATGAGCTACCTATGATAAGACCATTGAAGTCTGTATAATTAGGTTCAGTAAGAGTACAAATAAGTTCTAACCACAAATTCCATACTGTTATCCCCACTTTTATCTAAAAATGGCTCTCATTCATTCATTCATTCAATCATTCATTCAACTCTTTGCAATTAAACATTTTCAAACCTGTGTATGAAGAGCTATACACAAACACACATATATATATGCAGAAGTTTATACATACACACATAGCTATTTAGAAATATGTGGTTGTGTATATATCTGTAGCTATGTACATAAACTTATACACACATCATTGGTTGGCACCTTATGGCAGCAAATGCTCTTAATGTCTTGATTACTCACTGAAATTCTTGAAACTACAAATCAGTAATTATGGAAGTATCAACCCTTAGGGAAGATGATCATATTTTTAGCTCAGTATCTCTGAAATGATATACACAGGAGACAAAAAGGAAAGCATCTCAGAACAGAGGAGACAAAGTGGCTTACCTTTTCTAGTTGGGTCCATTTGTCTAGAACATCATGTGCAAAGTTAAAGTACTCTGGCACTTTGTAGACATCGAGGAGTTCAGGATCTGAGACATCTAGTGGGGCACATCTTCTACAGTGTTTGCTGAAGAGTCTGCAGGATGCCTTGGGCATCCAAACAAACTTAAAATTTGGGAATTTAAGTAAAAGCCTCATGGCACAAAAAGATGTCTTTGCATTAGGTGAGATAGACAATTCAATAGATATTCTTTGTAAGGCCTTTCACCTGCAATGACATTAGTTAAACATTACGCTAAATGTTTGGGAGATAAAGAAATATGAATAGACCTAGGTATAAAAAGCAGGTATAAAATCTATGTTCACATCCTGATCTTTGCTTTACTTGAGCTCATAATAAAACTAGGAGCAGAACTGGCTTCAGCATCTATGCTACTTAGCACCAGGGATCCTAGTTTTCTCTGATTTAAAACAAATCCCCAATTTTTGTTTTTAAAAAAGTAGCCCAAAATCCACATTTTTCCATGATTAAAATGAAACACCACCAATATGGTGGTGTTTCATTTTAATCATGGAAAAATGTGGATTGCAGGTTACTTTTTTTAAACTGAAAATTGGGGATTTTTTTAAATCAGAGAAAACCTGGATCCCTGCTTATCACACAACCAAATCTGACCCTGGAAAACAGCCTGGCCAAGCAGGCTGGATGAGCCAGTGGAGAACCCCTTATCACTGTTCCATATTCAGGGGTTGGTTTTGCTCTGTGATATCTGTGCCTTTCCTATGTGAATACAATGATGGATGCATTTGTATAAGGAAGGGTGATTCAAAGGGCCACCAATGAAGCTGCTCTGGAGCATCAGTGCTCAGAGAGATCTTACAGAACAGGGCGCCACGGTGCAGAGAAGTGAGTATCCCAGAACCTTTCCCTGTAGACTAGAACTGTACCAAGTTCCTTCTTCTCCAGGCAGTTTCTTAACAACCAGACAGGCAGGGGCAAGATTTGTCCAAAAAATGTACAAATTGTTATGGAAAACAAGCACATGAAACAAACCATCTTGCTTACTCAGGGAATTTAGTTTTAAAAAGCATGCCATTGTATACAACATGATGCCTGGATGCTCGACTTTCCTCTGCAGTCAGAACTGGCTGTGAGAGAAGGAGCTTAGATACTGAGCTCAGTTCTGCTCCTAGTTTTTGTATGGACTCTAATGAGACAGGATCAGGACATAAACCTGGATTTTATATTTGGTTTAAACCCCTCTCCTTGCCTTATATTCAAACAGTCCCTTATCTGAAGGTTATTCTCTCTCTTTTTCCAGGAGTACAGGGAATCAATCAAAGAACTTGTGTCCTGCTGCTGCCAAAAGAAATTCAACCCCAGTCTAAGTCTGGAACCAGAGTTTACATGTGAGTTCTACACTGGACAAACCAGCTTCTTTTCCAAACTGTAGCTTCTCTAAATGACCCTTGCAATAATGAATCCCACCTCTTACAGATTATTTTTTATAGATTTCCCATTCGGTAAAATGGAATTGCCATTTGAAAAAAAAAATGCATTGAAATGATTTAGGCTCCAGTGAGGTATTAGTACAATAACCTGTTTTAATGTCTCACAGTTACCCTTAGTAATTTTAAAAGTCTTATAAAGAAATAGAAACAGAAACAGTTAACTCACCTAATGGCTCCTCCAGTTTTGGTCTGACTTTATTCTAAGTGGAATTGGCAAGTCGCTCGTCACATTCCCCTGGCTGGATCCTAACTCACCGTGGAGAAGGGAAAGTCATTAAAAGAGCCTCTTGCAGACTTACAGGACCAAATACAAACTTAAACGATAAGAATGAAGGATTTCAGTACGTACAAGTAAATATTAACTTCCAAGCTGATAGGTACATCCATTTTACATGCCAGAATACAGTTTGTTATAACTACTGTTTTAAATAGGTAAGCCAACACTTTCAGCAGTGGCTCTAAAGGAGATGATAATTTTTTTCCATATATTTTGTGCTTCCCAACTTATGTGGGTGCCAAACCCTGAGAATTACCCTTGGTAATACTGGTAGCATGTTTAGGATTAAGCGTGGACTTTTGAGGTTTGGTCTGATGGTAGGGATTCTATGAGCCAAACCTAAAGTGGCTTTGGCTTCATTGACCTCAAGTGGGTTGTACTATCGCTGCACGTTATTCTGTATGATTGCCTATTTCTATTTCTAAATGGTTTTCACTCAGTACAAAAGCTAAGCCTTAATCCCATGGATTCCATATCACAAACATTACATCAAAGATGGTTTTTGTGCACATTAATACTTCTCTATAAATGTACAAAACAATTGCTTAAAAACATCTCTGCTTGATTTTGTCACTGGGAATAATCTTCTTTGCCTGTCCTTGAAGGGGGAAACCTGAGCTGCAGTGCTTTTAGCCCACTATCAAAGAAGAGGGTGTTGAATCTCACCAGCAGTAGCAGAAATAGGGAGGGCAGCAGGGCAGCAGCCCTGGGTGCTGAATGAGAGGGGGTACCGGTAGCATTCTGCAGCATTTCCCCTACTGCATGACACAGCCTGATAGCATCTCTGTCCAGGGCAATGATATTGCTAGTTCCACCTCTGCTCATCAATAAACCCAGTATCCTTTTTTCACTCAGTTGGGAGCAGTACAAGTTTCAACCATTTGTGCTGACAAGGTTATTTGGGTGAATCTGATATCTTTTATTAGACCAACTTAAATAGTTGGACAAAAAAAATTTAAGCAAGCTTTCGGGTTTAAAAACCCTTTGTCAGGCTGAGGAAGTTTCAGCAGTTGGTGTGTGCTCTTCCCAGATGGAATGAAAAGTAAAGAAGCCAGGGGCTGGTCTGCATATAAGATAGGTAGTCAGTGAAGATGTAAATTGAGTCATCAGTGGGTGAGAGAATTTTTTTTTCCAACTATTTAAGTTGGTTTAATAAAAGATATCAGATTCACCCGAAGAACCTTGTCTGCCTATGTCCTTACACCAACATGGCTACAACCTACACCCCTGAATCATTTGTGCTGTCCCTTATCCCAGCGATGCATGAAGTTCTCCAGGTGAAGAAGGAAATTCAGCCACCTTCCACATCTGAGAAAGAAGCCAAAGAGAGTGGTTATTGTGTGGATATCTTTAAGAGTGTTATCTCTAAGTTGTTACATTGGCCTGGGTATTGCAGGAGGGAACAGCAGAACTGTAGGCAGGGTACTGCTCCCAAATAATCAAGCTTTATCATTCTATAAACTTAACTCCTTAATCTTTTGAGAACAACAGAATCATTTCAAGACACAATTTCAGGTTAATATATTTTTAAAAAACGTTCATTTTTAAAATCCTGTTTTGGTAGAGGACTCTAAATATATATTTTTCCTAACCAGAAGTATAATTAACTATGGTATTAGGGATTATGTAATAATACAGTCAAATGCCTTATAAAAGACAACCACACATATTATGAATCTATCCTATCCCAAACCAAAAAGTCTCCAAGAAGTTTGGTTTCTCCCCAAAGTGTTCAGGGCATCTATTCTAACCTGATTTGTATATAATACAGAGAAAATGGGATAATTACTGTCTGAACCTATGTTTTAAAGCCTCGGAGAGTTGCCTTTCTCCCCTCAACTGTCTGTGCATGATATGCTGATAGGATTCACATCTCAGAGACGTATGGAAAAAAACAGTGCAATCTTTCTACGAAGGTTAGTGCATCCCTGCAATAGTCATGAGGAATGTTCTTTTGTTTTTAGAAACAATCCCATTCACACTCAGTGGTTTTGGTTCAGACTATTGATTCACAGTAAATAATATTTAAAGAAAAACTACACGTGAAACAAGTATTTTCATTTATTACCTTATTCTATTTAAACTTGTGCCAAATTTGGGGCTGCTTGATCCCAGCTGACTTCCCACCTATGGCAGGGGGGCTGGACCCAATGATCTCATGAGGTCCTTTCCAGCCCCTAATGTCTATGAAACCTATGAAATTAAAGGCCAGACGGGAGGAAAGTGGATACAGGTCCGTACTGTATGAGAATATTTTATTTTTTTCAGAAGGAAAAATTCACTCTCATTCTCATGATTCTGAAAGAAAGTTGAGTTGCCTTTGGTGGATGGATAACCCTTGATTCTACCTGCTTGTAGGTGTTATTGTATATTACTGACGTGATCCCAAAGGGAACTGATGGGACTCAGCAGTGAGACTTTGACCTAAGGTTCTTTTTTAACTCCTGAATTAACGACCCATATAGCCTTGAATGTTTGGGACAAGAGTTGTTTTAAACATTAACACTAGACAAAAGGTGCAGTGCAATGCAGTTCACAGAAGGGCAAGTGACCAGGAAGGAGGCGCCTGTGCTCTAATGAGGAACAAATTAGACATGTTACTTGACTTTGTACCTTCAGCCCAGTCATCTGAAAAACTGGGTGAGAGAGCAAGAGCAAAATGGAAAACCAGATGCTGCCTCCTCTGTGGTAAGTTGGACAAGCAGTAAGGGCTGAGGAATTTCTCTCAAGCTTGGAGAAAAAAAAATGGTTTATATTAACAATCTAGATTCGAGTTAGAGAACCAAATGAATGTAGTTGTGTTTGTGCAGTCTCCCTTCCGTCACTGGAAGTTTTCAAGTATGTGTTGGAAAAACATTCATCTAGGATAGTTTGGACAGGGACACGCTTGCTGTGAGCAGGGCGTAGGGCTGGATGACCTCCTGAAGGCCTGTCCTATTTCAATGAGTCTGTGAATCCTGATCCCAAGGAAACAATGCCTCCAATGGAGTAAAATACCACATTAAAGTTTTTGCTTACTTAGACCTGGATTTTAGTTCTTAATTTTAGGCAACAAAACTGGAAAAAAGAAGGCTATACAGCAGCTGAACTGAAGAAGCAGGAATAAAACCACAAGAGTTCTGAATGTCACTTCTTCAGTTATTTGACAGCACTCTTTTGTAGAAGCATGGCTAAGTGCATGATGTCGAAAATGGCTTAAAAAGATAAGTGATTGCATTTGGTATCCAAAATGTTCTATCATTAAGAGGAGCCATTTCTGATTTTACATTATTCCAGTTCTCTCTGGTGCCAATACTGAATGATTAGATAATTGGAGAAACGCGAAAGTGGAGGGATAAGTAAATGATAGAATAAAATATTAGGCAGGAACCAGCTTAGTTCAGGAACTGAAGTTTCACCTTCCCAGCTCTGGAAGGAGTTAGGAGGACATAAGTTATGTATGAAAATGATCTTTACGTTTTGAATATATGCCCTGATTAAGCAAACTGTAATCTTCAGGAGCACTTTGACATGAGGTAGAGGAGAATGTATCCTGCCATCCTGCAATTAATACATTATCCCTCTGGGAATAAGGTTGTTCTAAAAATTATCTGTCAGAAGACAAGGTGGTCTGTTAGAGGATCCATGAACAAGTGGTACCTTGGGTTTTAATTGGAGATGCGTGAACCCTTCAGGTTTTGGTGCATGGAAGGAGCCTCTGTGGGTTTGCTTGGAAGCATTTACTATGGACAGCAGCTTTCACAGGAACCAGTCACCCTCATCCTAGTGCTGAGAACTTATCCAGCTCAAACCCTTGATGCAATTTCATAGGTATATAGATGCATTAATACAGGTTTCCCTCACTTGATGTGGGTTCTGTATGTGCAAATTTGCTCTTACACGATGACACTTTTTATACCAAAAATTCATTATATGCAAAGTAAATTTACTCTTATGCTATTGGTGTGGTGGAAGCTTGCAGTCAGCTGCTTTGTGCGGTGATTGTGGGAGTATCACGCACCAAAATATAGTCTCCTGTGTGGATCTGTGCTCCTCACTCTTTGTCTGCAACACGTGTTTCTGTAGTTGCCATCCCCATTATGGCGTCTAAGTGTCCTGCTAGCTCAGGGGCAGGCAATTATTTTGGGCAGAGGGCTGCTTACTGAGTTTCGGCAGCCATCAAGGGCCACATGACAGGCAGCCCAGGACAGATTAATATTAATTTTCTAAATTTTTTAGGGGCCCCGCAGGCTGGATAGAATGGCGTGGCAGGCTGCATCTGGCCCCCGGGCCGCGTTTTGCCCACCCCCATGCTAGCTTATGTCTTACCCTTCTCTTCTATTGGTAAGTATCAAAATCATCTTGTAAAAGTGGTAGAAATGGGTCTGGGGGTCAGTACAATTGAGGTCTTGGAACGTATCCCTATTTGCTACATTTGCAAATTTGAGTTATGTGCTGTTTTCCAGGAACACATGTACAGCATAAAGCAAGGGAAACCTGTATATTCATAGCATCAGAGGGGTGTTGAGTTTTAGTCTTAACTCCTGGATATTACAACAGGCCATTACATTCTAGCTACTTGCCCCTGCATTGGCCCTAGAAGCTCATGTTTGAATAAACCATAATTTATGTTTAGCCAAAACATATCTTTTAGAAAGGCCCCCAAACTGGGGTTGAAAGCATGAAATGTTGGGGAACGAACCAGTTCCTTTGCTAGTGTGTGATGTCAGTTAATCGCCCTCTTTATTAAAATATTGTGCCTATATTCTCATTTGAATTTGTAGAGCTTCAGCTTCCAGATTTCGTCTTTGTCAAAGCAGCTTAGTAGCTGATACTACCTTGCTGTGAAGGCATTGATACACTGCAATCAAGTAACTTTTTAATTTCCTTGATGATAAACTAAGCGCACTGAGCATGTTATGTCTCTTATTGAAAAATAGTGAGAGGTCTCAAATAATTTATGTAGTTGCAGCTTATTATGGCTGCTTCAGTGGGCAAGGGACAGCTCTGAGTATGCAGGCACAAAGGGTGGGCTTTTCAGAGACCCTAGGAATTGAAAAAGCAGTGGCCATTTCTGACTGTTGTAGCAGTTAGCTAATAAGGGGGAGTCATCAACTATCAGTGCAGGTGACACCAGCCAGGAAGGTTGTATAAAACAAGAGTACAGAGATTTACAAGATGCTGAACAAGGTGGAGGAAATGAGAGAAGGTGGAATCATTCAAAAAGGAGACTTCGGAGTGGTAGGAAGAGAAAGGGAAGCAAGAATCCAGGAAGGAGTGATTGGTTATGTTGAGCGTGGCAGACAGATCAAGGAGAATAAGAGCCCTTAAATGTGACCAAAGGGACATGACTTAACCTCAGAAACTGGATTAAGAAACTGGATTTCCAGCTGGGTACAAAAAGGAGTTTGAAGCATTGGGCACAGGAAATGCATCCAGTGATCTAGGGGCCAAAAAGGTGGCCATTTTAGAGGAATAATATGTTTGACAGAAAATCCTTCAGATCCAGATAACTGAACAGCATCTGAGACATTGAAATACGTTTGAAAATCAAGACACTGCCATAAAGAGGTAGAAAGTAAACACTTTATTAAACTTTTTTCATTCTTTTCAGTACAAAACTTTATTTAATTTGCGTAGAAAAGTGTTTAGTCTCAGCAAATATTTATTTCTCATTGGTTGAAATAGTCATGTTCCAAATCTCTTTTCATAATCACAATCAAAGTGACACTCCTGGGTGAGAGAGACACACCTGCAGAAGCTTTTCTTTCAGCTCCAGAGAAGCTAGTGTCCCTCCACAATGTCTTGCTATTTAACAAGCAGATGAGGACAGCTGATTGCTAGAGACATTGTGTGAATTAATGAAAGTCATGTGCCAGGAAATTAAACTTCTTGAGTGGTCTGAATAAAATAGCTGATGATAGAGTTAAGGACTGGTACAACATGCTTGGGACTTGGCATATAGCACATGCTACTGTAATATCCTGCACACTAAAACCCCTTTATGTTTACTGGCCTGTGGCCAGTAATTAATTGGAGCTGGAGCCACAGTCACTCAGGTGCAAGAAGGAGTTTGTAAGACTCCCCCAGGAAAGTGTGTGTGGGTGGGGAGCATGGTGTGGGAGGGACAGATGGAAGGGGGCAGACACAGGCATGGGGGGGAGGCAAAGCATAGGGATTAAGGAGGGGGGTCTGATTGTCTCTAAAAGAAACTCTGATTGTGCAGTAGCCCATGACTACTGTACAGTAGTGTCACATGGCAGAAAGCACGATGTGATGCTACTGTGTAGTAGTCTTGGGCTACTGTGCAGTCAGCGTCATGAAACGATGTTACTGCACAGTCGTTTAGTACTTGTTCATACAAGTACTAAATGACTGCACAGTAATGACTATGCAGTAGTGTCTCATGGTACAAGAAGGAGTTTGTAAGGGTCTCCCAGGTAGTGTGTGTGGGCGGGAAGCATGGTGTGAGAGGGACAGATGGAAGGGGGCAGACACAGGCATGGGGTGGAGGCAAAGCGTAGGGTTTAAGGAGGGGGTTTAAGGAGGACATGGCCTCTGTGTTGGGTAATTGTTGGAACAGCTGGATCAGGTGGCTTGACTCAGCAGCTACGTAAACATTAAGGATGATGATGTATTGGTGCCAACAGAGTAAGACCATTCCAGTTTCAGGGAATGGGAGTAGGATGACACAAGAGCTCCACTGTAATGTCAGTTTATAACTTGGATAAGATAAAATATGTTGTCTTCTAAAGTACATCTCCTTTTCTGCAACCTGCAAGCAGGCAGCAAATATTAACAATGATTTCTCTATCAGTCTCTACTGTCCAGAATCAAAATAGGCAAAGCCAAATCCTGGATTTGAACCAGGTACACTGTGGGAAGGCTGGCTCTAGAACAGAACTTTGTAGCTGTTCCCTCTCCTTATAGGGCTTCAGAGTAATAAAACCACAGAACGGGATACCCTTAAGTAACCAGGCCTGAACCTTGCATGTTGGGTTCTGTAATCTTCAATGCTCATAACATCAGAAAAACTTATTAAAAAAACAGAAATTGTAACAGAGAGGCTTGCTGGTGTCAATTGAATGAGAGAGGGTGCATTACACTCCACACCAACATTACATCTGTCTCCACTCATTATTTCTTAATTCATTCCTCTTGATTTTCCCAGTGATTGTCTTTGGCAGCTGTTTGACAAATTCCATCTAATAAAAAACACCAAACAAGTTAGTATGCCCTCCCCTATTTGAATTTTTGCAAACAGTAGCTCTGCCACATGTGGAAGAAGTAGAGGACACTTTGCCTAAAAACTCCCAAGATCAGGCACTAATTAAAGGAGTGCTAATACCTTTTACTCAAAGTCTTGTGGAAAACTTGAGGTGGGTTGTCTTTAACTTGTGGAGTTGTCTTTAACTGGTTTACTACAATCAGGCAAACATCCTCTGATGCTCGAGTGAATAAAAGATAAAATCTAAGTACAAGATTTGGGTTTAAGATACAAGAGGGCACATCTACACATACAGATAATCTGGGAGCAGTTTACCTTCAAGTAAACTACTCAAGAGTAAACTCTCCCAGGCACGTATCACACTCAGGGACGCAGGAGCAGATTTGTTGCTCCTAGCAGCAGACTGCTCCCATTCCCTGCAGCCCTGCAACTGGGCCCTGCAGCAGCCAGGGGCAGCTCTAGGCTCCCTTGAGTGCTAGCCGAGGGGCCAGGAGACAGCTCTCTTCTGGTGGGGGCTGGGACATTGCTCCCTGCTCCTGGGAGCTGCCTGCTGCTGGTGTGGGCTCCTCCACTGGAGCCTGGGCAGGGACAATGTCCCCCTGCCCACGCAGCAGGGAGCTCCCAGCCCCTGCTCTGTGATCATGGGTTTGGGGCTTATCCTTATCTCTCAGTGCCAGCTCCATGGTTGTAGGGCCAGTGCTAGGAAATCCTTATCTTAAATCCTTAAATCCTTATCTCCTAGCCCAACCCCACAGTTATTTCCCAGCGTCAGCTCTGCAGTCACAGGACCAGCACTGGGAGATCCTTCTCTCTCAGCTCAAGTCCCATGGTTGTTGGGCCTGGGCTGGGAGATCTTTATCCTTACCCCTTTACCCTTATAAGGATCTCCCAGCCCGGGTCCTGTGACTGTGGAGCAAGGGCTGGGAGCTCCCTGCTGCTGGGCCAACACTCGCCTTTGCTACTGGAGCAATCTCCCGCCCGTGGCTGCACAGTTGACCGGGAGCACATTTGTTCCTGGTCAGGTGTCTCCACGTGTGCTACTGCACAGTTACTAATCACGAGTAAATTTGCTACTTGCATTTGCAGATAGCAAATTTACTCATGATTAGAGCCAATTACTGCGCAGTAAACATCTGCACATGTAGATGCGGATGCTTACTGCACAGTAATTAGCTCTACTTCGCAGTGAAGTGTTTCGTATAGATGCACCCAGCGAGGATCTAGCAAGAATGTTTCACTGGACCAAAAAATATTTTTAAAGGTACAAATATACATTGGTGCAAAGTTTTATTAAAACCAAAAAAACAAACAAAAAAACAAACCCCAAACAAGAAGACTCTAAAGTAAATGAGATTTAGGAAAAAGTTTCCCTCAATTAGTGGCCTCTCTATATTTTTATCTCCCTCTCTTTGATGAGGGAAGAACTCTTTGGACTGCTAAGGAATTTTCAGGGAAATTTCAGCAGGCTTTCAGTAGGAGAGGGGGCCCTGGTATGTAAGCTATTACTTAGGACTACTTGCCTTTCTGGGATATTTGTATGGAGCAGTTACTTTCTTGACATGCTCCTGCAACTCAAAGGTTAAGTGTTCCAAGTCACATGATGTAAATGCTGGTGACAAGACCACAAAAGCTTTCACTACCTACAAGGTTAAAAAAAAAGAAAAAAAAGAAAAGTAGAACAAAACTGAGATCATCAATTAGGGATTTGTTACATTTATGTTCCCAATCAGCAGTGTCACGATGGGCACATTTACATGTTCCTTAATAAAGTACTAACTAAACGTGCAGTAACTACAGTTACTGTGCAGTAGCGCTGGTGCATGATTTTTTTTGTGATGGTTACTGTACTGTAGCCTAATAACACTGTGCAGTAGCTTATTAGCATGGTTTTTGACCGGCATGCTACTGTGTAGTATTATTAGGCTACTGCACAGTAAATGCCTTGCGTAGATGCACCTTGCCAGGACATGCATTGACAGTGGCATGGAGAAACTCAGAGATTTCTGAAATGGAGTTCTAGCTTGTGCCCACCTTTTCTACTGGTGGGTAAGGTGGTGGGAGGAGCAAGGCATGTCTCCTCTGCCTTTCACTGCAGTGAAGGATTCAGAAGGGTACCGCTACTGTTAGGGTGTTTGCAAGGTGTCCTTTGGCTTGGGCTACACCCAGTTTCTGTAGTGGTATAACTGTGCATTATTATTGTACCAGTATTACCCCCTTCTGCAGGCACAGCTGCATTGCCATTGACACCTGTTTAGCTCCTTCTCTATACAAGAACAGCTTTGGCAGTATAAGCACATTCTGCTCTTAACACTGTGCCCACATGAAAGGGGTTGTACCACTTCAACTGCACTAATCTAGCAAGAGCAGTACAATTTGTGCATATGAATGAGGACTTAAGAGCATGAAAGTCTGTTGAGGAGATGCCAGATGTTGCCCTTTGGGAGAGGGTCTGGGAAAGGATTAAAAATAAGATTAAAGGGATGTCCTCAGTAAAGGAACACTCTCTTTGATGCAATATTCATATGATAGCTGCAGTTTTTTACAATCAATTGCAGTTGCTATAGATGTGGATTTCTCCTGCTGTTATGAACCTCATTACCTCTCCTCTAAGGGGATCTGGGCTGCTGACAACAGCTGATTCTGCCACTGCTGGGTGCTCTATTAGTGCACTTTCAACTTCGAATGGTCCAATCCGATACCTAGGAGAGGAAAATTAAGTGTTTAATGTTATATGCTTGGACACTAACCTGGCTCCTCTGGATATAAGAGCCATGTTATGCTATATGCTGTACAGTCTCAAAACATCTTGTTTCAGTATGTTTAAAACAAAAAGTCTCATATTTTCTATTTGAAATGACTTTTTGGTTAGGATTTTAGGCTACTTTTATTGGAAGAGAGAGTTCCCAGGTGGAGGAGCCCAAAACCTAAATAGAGAGGAGAAAGAACAGGGAGGGAACAATGATGTGCCCCAGCAAGTGAGTAGAAGAGTTGAGACTAGAACTCGGATTCCCTGTCCAAGGGTCTATCCAGAGAGCCCTCCTGTCAGAATGAAATGATTACATTAATCTGAAGAGAGCTGTTTCTTAAATAAACCTCCATCCCTTAAGAAACTCATCATGATTTCTTCCATTATAGTTTGATAGAATTAGAAAGGAAACTTGCACACCCAGGAAAAAAAAAACCAACCCTGAAG